GGTGGGGGGGGGGGGGGGTGTGCAGTGGTTGCCCGCTGTGGGTGATTGTGGCGACCGGTAGTGATTGGCGGTAGCAAATGAGCTTGTTTGTGGTGTAATTGATTCTGCTCAGAACTATTTGAGTTTGGTTTAGTGAAAAAATGAACTAAAATGATTTACACTACATTTATTTTACTTAACTTTGCTCCACTTTGAATTCCAACCGAACACTAAAATTTTCAAAACCCCTACATTTAAAATACTTTACACCACTTTGTATTCCAACCAATCAGCCCTTTAGTGGTTATTATTCCTTCATAGCATTTTAGCTATTTCTCTTTTGCAAACAGCCAAATCAATACCCGATTACATAAAAAATAATAGTAAAACTGAAGATGCATTTTTAAGTATCAAATCAGGATGATTATCACAATCATCACAAGCTATATCATAACTATTTGGGGCCAGCAATTTCAGTTTTGCTCAGCATAAATAATATGTATTATGATATATTCATCCTCCTTATTCACAGATTAAATGAGGAAAATTTTCCAACGTATTAGTTTGATATCTACAACCATTCATAGTAATCAATTTTTGCTTCTATAATTTAAGATGTCTATCTTTTAATTTTTAATTAAAGATAATATAAATCAACTTATTCATTCATTCTACAACTAATTGGATCATTATCTTTGTATGAATTTGATTGAACGTACTCCAATTACACTCATATTATTACAATTGTAAATAACATTGGTTGAACATGTTCCAATTACATTTAGTGAGACTTTAATATAACATAAACCCACTTCCTCATCAAACTCTATGTGCTTCTCATTGCCTTCATTGAAAATACAGAAGATATATGGCCTTGCCTTTCCTTCACTCTCGATCCACTCACTCACGATCTCATTGTTGTTTAGAGATAAATTCTAGCTGTCTTGATACGTGCAGTCTATTAGTTAATACATAATAATAATAAAATTATTAAAATTCACAAGTAATTAAACGCCACCTGAAAATGGCACGAGTTATACGTCATATTTAAAAGGCGTAAGCTTGATTGTTCTCAGTGAGGTTTAAGCCTCAAGGTGTATGACTCGAGCTATTTTTAAATTGAATAATGTTTCCATTTGTATTGTACATGATTATTTGACTATCTTGATACCCTGTTTTTAGTGATTTGTTGCAATTATTAGCCATACGTTGATTCAGATGCTCCTCAAGGCATTGACAATTGGCTCGTTTTTACCATGGCATTCAAATTATTTAATTTATGTTTGCTTTACCTTGCTAGGGAAACATGCACTTCCACTATGACGTGGCAACTTGACCTGATTACCATCCCATCAGCAAAAAACACTTCGAATTGTCATATTACTCGGTTCCGCTTTAAGTCTCAATTTATGAAAAATTTATTCTGTACAGACACCGGACGTTGTCCAGAGGCGAATCAGAGCACGTCACCTCACTTTTTGTTATGTACCGCAAGTATGTACCCGCTGTGTACCGAGTGACGTGGCGTGTTCTAATCTGCCTCCGAACAATCTGATAATATCTCCAATTTATGTCCCATAGAGGAATCCTCACATTTCTCTAAATCTTCAAAGTGGTCATGATAAAATAACTCCAAATGTGAATCTCCCAAGCCAAACCAGTTTTAAATTAAAAAATGGCTCATAACATCTTAATCGGAGTAGGAAATTCGGAATGTTAAATCCTAGCTAACGTGCAACGATTATCAATCACTGAGCAAGAGAAATCATAATCCCTAAGAAGGTATTTGTGAACCAAATAGTACCAAAGAACTTACTAAGAAAATAAGATATTTTCTCAAAGGAAAATTATAGAGCCGACTCTTGTCGAGCTTTTCTAAACTGTAGAACAAATCAAATTGGAATTATGAGTAATTTACAGACCTTCTCCATAACGAAACCCTAATTCGAGCGACTGTCATGAAC